TACGTGGGTGTGTGCGCACGTGAGTGTGTGGCTGAATGAGCCGCGATCAACTGTTGGGTCCGCCGGCACGCCAAAGAACAGGGGGCATTGACGTAGCTGTTATCGGTTAGCCAGAAGCAGCTACGAGGTCAAGCCTCGAGGGACGGGGAGACCAGTGAAAGAAAGCATTGTAACCATTGTTTGTGGTGATACGACTTTGGGGCAGCGAGCCCTGGAGAACGGAGTGGGGATAGGCATTGTGGCTGGCCGCCAGAGTGATGTGTATGAACAACCTCATAAGTAATGCAATTAGCAAATTACAAGATTACTTTAAGTTTTCTCTGTAGTATAATATCAGCTAAAAGCATAAGACACGCCGGTTACTGAAAAGAATATTCGCAGGATAGGTTTAAAAATCAACAGGTCGCTTTAAGAAATGCCGGAAAAGTAACCAAAGATCGATTAAAAACGAGGGGGATAATGCAGGCATCTATAAATCGAGAGATTATGGCTTGATCCATGGGATATGAACGCAAGCGACGGGTATAATATGGAAGTTTAGGTAGTTTAGTCAAAAGAGTTACAAAATGAAGAGTAAATGAGGGATACAATGTCAGAGTAACACCGAGGTACGGGAAAGATGATACCTAATTAGACAGGAGGTCCACGGATTCAGGGCTGAGAGGAGATCACAATCGGAAAACGCACTGGAGTTACTTCTGATTAAGTAGAAAATAATTTGCTAACGGCCATTTCCAGACATGGTCCAGGCTATCTTTCAGTACCTGGAAATGCATCTGTATATAGAGCAGTTGACCAGCAATCATCTCATCAGCACATTAAATATATATTCATTTGGCGCTCATAGGTCCTCAATGGAGAGAAAAGAAGTGAGGAGATAAGACAGACCTTCGAAAAACTTTGCAGTTTTTGCGAACGACCGTAGACTTTTACTTGCTGCATTGAACGAATTGAGCGCGGGAGGTGAAATAGTCCCCAAACCAAGAAACAGCTCAGACATTAGAGCCGCATAAAAAACTTTTATTCATAAGGAAATTGCGGGGGATCGTGTTAAAGGCTGATTAGTAGTCATATTGCATAAGCATCGATTACTGGTTTAATAAACATGGATATATAAGTCAGCGAAAAATGATTAGCATCGCTAATGTATAGATGCAATGTTTCGCCTGAGAAAAAGCTAAAGTGTCAGCAACTCGCCATGACGAAACAACCAGGGTTGGTGAATCCTGGATTAGATCGGAGTACACCTATGTACTAAGATACATTAATAAAATGCTTACAACAAGTGTTAGTGAGAGCAAGCAGGCAAAACCTACGGTTTTTCCCTGAATCGCACCCGGATTCGGAGTAAGGAAAGCTGGAACTGGAATAAATAGAATCACTCCTTTTTATTTATAACTGTAATATAAGCCGGGAAATGCAAGAAAAACCGACTAATAGTGTCGTGTTTTAAATGATTCTGAAATGAGTTCAATTGGCCTTGCTGGCAGACATTCATCGCAAGTGGAGATTTCAATAAGGCGATTGCTATTCAGTGCGCTTGTGGTGAAAGTTGGCCTTGAGAAAATTGAGGGAGCGATTTTCCTTGGCTACAACAGTGCTCTGTGCATCTTCTCAAAGGCAGCTCTGGCGGCTGCCAATAATATGCTTGAGGAAAGAGGAGCCTGCTGATTGATAACACATTCACTTATATTTAATAACATCCAGCGACCTGTGCTTGTTGGATCAATGTATCAATACCGGTAAGGACAGTGGAGACTGAAATGCCCGTTTCCGCTTTATTCGGCATCATCAGTAAGAAATATCCAACGCCAAGTGGTGCCCCATCCAGGGCTGGAACCCAGAAGCATTCTGACTCGCAGTCTAATGTCCTAACAACTGAGCCGGGGTCTTATTATCTTGCCCCTTTAGATAAGGATATATTTGCCTTCTATGACAATTCGCGGAACTTACTCTCCTCCCCCTGCCCTGGGGCTCATTCTCAACAGCTGTACAGCGTCTAGAAGGCTGGGCAGGTAGCAATGCTGGCGAGGACGAATATGAACGCGAAAAAAATTACGCCGTACGGCAGGTGCTGTTTGTCAGTTGCGCTTTATAGATGAACCAGTGTATTGGGCATCATATCCCATGTTGTGTTAAGTGCAGGTTAATTGCAGGCTCGGTGCAGTGCCTTGCCCGCGCCTTCTCCATAACGAACCGACAGGAAAAACTCGACGACCGATAAAACAGGGTAGTGGATGCAGTATTTGATTACGTTATTAGCCGTCTACACGTACGTCGTCTGACCTGGTTCCTACAGCATGCATCTTATGAGCGGCCCGGATGGCGCCTCCCTGTTTGACTTTAATGCTGTATGCAAACCGTACATTATATTTTATGCGCGTAGGTTTCTACGTTTTATTTATATGTCATGCAGTCGCTTCAGAGGTTGTCGCTAGGCAGGACAAAGAAGCAGAATTTCCGTACAATTTGTTTTCGTTTAGTTCAAATTACTTTTAATGTTTTTGACGTCCAAATGCTACAAACTGATCAATCGTCAGATCTCACATCTGTTCTTTTAGTGCAATGCATATATCCTTCAAGTATGACAATCTTCTGTGCAGCTTATGCACAATTTTCTATAAAATGCTACTGCACAACTTTAGGTCTATAACCGGAGTCTAACGAACTGTATAGGAGTGGTTAAAGCGCAAATAAACAATGAAAAATCAATGGCCATTGTGGCAACTGTCAGAAAAGAGTGATTTACATTAGTACTATGACCAGGAATATTCATCGATAATTTAAATTTTATTTCCTTTTTAAACATAAATATCAATTTTCATGACATTGTGACCTATATTTTATGCTTTTATAAACTGCAAAAAAATTTTGAACATTTTATTACGATGCTTTTCTTGTTATAAAGCAGAAATATTTATGTGCAAGGTGCATAACTATGTTTATTTCAGTACGAAGGACTGTAGAGTTGCTGGTTGCAACCTCATTTGTCGTTACGTAACCTGAACTAACGTCATTGGACGAAAAACAAGTCACCAATAGAAATGCAGGACGCTGTTTTATATCTTCTGCACCGTCATAACCCAAGCATCAGATGGTAATTACGCACTGACCTTTCAGAGCTCCGAATAATAAATGCCGATTGATGCTGAAACATGCTTCTCTATGCTTATTGGATTTTTGGGCATCATTTCGAACATTGGAATTCTAAGTATTACTAAACTTATTGGACGAGTACCTAGACAAAAGATCTCCTCCGGCGGCTACAGTACCGATGAAACAGCCTCTGAAGTGCGCAATATCCGGGTTAGTTTGGATAGACGTGGACCCTCCGATAACAAAATGCCCAACCTTTTTTCCAGTAGTCTTGAAGTAAAACATCTCAGTCTCCTCAGTCCCTGCAGCAAAGCCTCCCTGCTGCGACTTTCATCTCTCCTCTCCATTAACAAGCTGGGTCCGGATGAACAAGCCACAAAGGATAGGAAAATTAGTTCAGGTCATCGGATATCCTCGCGGTGGAAAAGTCGGCGACACCAAAAATACCTACAGGGCCTGATCACTGTTGCATTCTGCAATGTATTTCTTTCAGTCATGCTTCTGTTGAAGGCTGCTGGCCTGTTCTGGAGTAGTAGTCAAGAGCCAGTGTTCCACGGACAGGAGGATTACCCACCCTGGCAGCGGGCCTCCATCTCCCTCGGCCTCATGATAGTTCTGGATGTATTCCAAGCCGCGGAGATCGGGGCTATCATGTGGATTGCTATAAATCGTGCCGGGGCTATCCACAACACCTCACGTCGAAATACCTCAAAATATGGCCCAGGCGTCCAGTCCTACTCTGACAGACGTCCCAGTTGCTGCCCTGTGCAGGGCCTCACATGCTGTTCAGGACAACGCCGACCCGATCGAAGCAGTCAGGTGAATATGATTATGAGCAACCGTCATGACCACAGCCGGCATGACGGCAACCTCAACTGTTGTCCGCTGACGCGGAAAGCCAGTCGAACCTTTAGTTGCATGGTATGCCTCCTGCCTGTTGGAATTATCATACTGGCGACAGTGTTGAGCCTCACGAACTGGACTGCAATTATAGAGCCCGTTAACACCGTGCAATGGTACTATCCAAACACATCAATTTGGTCGCCATTGGCATACTACACCCCAAGTGTTAGCATCGGGGTGGTCTTTGGACATTTTCTACTCCCAGTGGCATTTCTGGTGACAACCAACATTCTCATTTACAGAAAAGTACGTCTTCTATCATGCAACTGAAGCTAATAAAGACGAGTATAATTTTAGTTGACATTCAGCTACAGAGTACGTGCGTCCTTTTAATCAAATCAGATATTTGCCTGCCTTTATTGCTAGTCAGAACAAGTCGGGATAACACACGAAGGATTCACTTACGTAAAACCAGTAGCCATTGAGCATTCTAAAATGACTGGGCATTCCATTTTGTTTATAAAGTTTCATGGCTACGTAAATAAGTCTTCTGTGAGATAACATAAAGCATTTCGAAGTATGCGTTAACATACATAGAAGTATGTTCCGATAATAATGGAAAAAAAGCTTGCCAAGTATATGATAATCCTAGATATTCCCTAGAAAATTAAAGCAGTTAATGATTTCCTTAATTTGCTATTGGAAATTTGTAAAATTGAGGACGCAGCATCAGAACTAACGCTCTTCTTATGCAACACGCTTATGGCGAAATGTGTACTTGCACAGGCAGTTTTACATTGATTCGGCCCTCTCAAACTATTTGTTTACCATGACTAATTCCGATTCTGTCACATTACACAGGAAATCTGCACCTCGTTTGTATGCTATATCATTTCTAAAAGCAACTATTTCTTTTAGGCGTGTACATGCTTAAGTGACCAAGTCATTTACGTATCACATGTGTTTTAATATATAGAAAGACTGTTGATTAGAGGATCAGATAAAACTAGATGATATTTATCTGAGCGTAAAAATGTTAGTCTTGTTCCGAAAAGCGTTTTAAAAATGAGCCTATCAAAACCTCAAGTAAACTATATAGACAGTTTGTATAAAATGCCGAGTGTGTATGCGTTTTTTTTTAATGGTTCGATTATTATTAAAGTCAGAGTGAAATAATGTTTGGTGAATGCAAAAATAGGTTGCTCGGATGGTTTTTCAAAAAAATTCAAAGTCGGTTGCACGTTGCACAATCTATCTTATATTGGATGATATTCATTTGCAAAAAAGTTGTTAAATTGCAATCGCCTTTTTCCTCCAAGAATGCCTTTCGCCGAGATCCTATTAAAACTTTGCAAAAATGGACAGTAGTTTGTTAAATATGAAATGCCATCACATTTGTTTCGCGTAATATATACTTGAAAGCCGTTCATTTGAATGGTTATCCCTAATAATGCAACTTTTGTTAAGAAGAAGACGACTCGATCGCTGGGACGCTATGTTTATTCGCCTGACGTTTCGAAATCCGTCGCGGATTCATCATCAGAAACATACTCACAGAAAAGTAGCAGAAACAGCTTGTGTGTGCATAGGCTTCCGTCGTAAAATTTAAACGTACAGAAAAAATCGATTGATGTCTTTGATTGTGCGTTGATTCGTTGTGTCAGCACTGACCATGTGGCCTTGTGGTGTTGGCATAAGATGATATGGTGGCCTGTGTGTTCCCCAAGTGGCGATTTGTTTTGGCAGGCTTCTCAAGACGCGAATTGCCGAATGCCTGGCAGCAGTGCGGCGAAATGGTGCCAATTCTCAAGTTGCGGTCCCGAACAAGTGGCAGCAGTGCGGCGAAATGATGCCAATTCTCAAGTTGCGGCTTATTTGACGAGACCCGGCCACACATTCAAATTTGATGAGGCCGAAATTCTCGCAAGAGGTGGCAGTGGGGTGAGCCGAGATTTACTTGAGTCGTGGTTCACGGGGCACAATCCATCAACAAGTGCAACGATTTGCCCAATCGATATTCTGTGCTGAGACTAAATTTGGCCAAAGCAAATCGCCGCTCGGGGAACACACAGGCCACTAAATCATCTTATGCCAGCATCACAAGGCCAGATGGTCATTGCTGACACAACGAATCAGCGCACAATCAAAGGCATTTATCGATTATTTATGTACGTTCAAATTTTACAGCAGAAGCCTATGCGCACACAAATTGTTTCTGCTGCTATTCTGTGAATATGTCTCTGATGCTGAATCCGCAACGGATTTCGAAACGTCAGGCGAATAAACATATTGACCCAGCGATTGAGTGGTCTTCTGCTCCTCAATTGCTTCCTGGGACTCGCATGTTCGCTTGTATTAGCAACTTTTCTTTCCACCCGCATCCCAGCAGCCCATTTTTTGCCCTTTAAGATGTAAAAATGCGGTAGGGTCAAAAACCATTTTAAGGCGGCCTTACAGTTCAAAAATATTTCACATTTGCTACGGTCAATCATCAAAGCAGACGTTGCTTTTCGAAGTCCGCACGCATAAGACAAATTAATCCTTTCGAAGGAGACAGCGTTGTCATCGTAAAGGTCTGCTTTGCAGAAAACGCGCATTTGAATAGTCGTTATGTTCTGGCGTCTCCTCAGCGCACATTACTTAGATCTTGCCGATGAGACCTTAGCATATTTATAAACAGTCTACGCAAACAAAATGTAAATTTTAATGTTCTTCTTTCTTTTTCGAATGGTGATTTCGAATGAGGAAACGCTGACGGGAAAAGAATAGACATGGTTTAAACTGTGAACTTATTTCTATTTGCCATGCATTCTACTTTTATTCATGACAGGATTCATGCTTAACATATATTTTAGTAAATATTTTAGCAGGAAGACGGTGGTTTAGTACTGGCAAATTATTTCTACCTGATGTTTTTCGTTTTATTACCAGTATTATGCTGAGCACGTCAAATTTTAAAAATACTAGACAATGTTAGCCAACTAAACTCTGAAGAGTCCTTAAGAGGAAAGTTAAACTTTTGCTGGGACATGAGTGTAGAACGGCGTTATTTTGTGGTTTTAGGACTGATATCGTGAGATTTCGCTTATGTGCAACTTGAAAGAATGACGGAATTTTTTCCATGTCATATTTAATAGCACATAAGTCAGTTGCGTTCGGTACCGCTTGATAGTATAAGTATGCTAGTTTGCCAGTTGTCAAAGCTCAACTTCTGCCATATTCCCATTTTAGGTGTCGCTTCGGCACAAGCGCTTCTGCTCCAGGCGATCCAGTCACAATGGCAAGACGAATTGTCTGTGTGACGATGAAGAGAGCTGCAGTGCTGTCCAAGACCCCAGTCCACATCACTCACCCGACATCAAACCGCTGTCTATTCCTGCGCTCATGGTAACAGGGAGTAGCCAGACGGACGTCCATAGCGGATCCCTGCAGAACCTGCAAACATCGCCGTCTGTGCAGCCCCTCCGACCACACAGCTGCAGCCCAGCTCGCAAGTTTGCCAGTATTGTGCCACCGGTCTTCCTCCAAACTTGCCCGCAGTTACAAACTGCTGCCTCCACTGTTGATAT